CGCTCCGCGGCATGTGGGATCCTCCCGGACCGGGGCACGAACCCGCGTCCCCGGCATCGGCAGGGGGGGGGGCCCCCCCCCCCCCCCCCCCCGAGGTTGTTGAGCCAGCTGCAGGAAGGTGTCTGTGGTGTCTGCGAAGTCGTGCAGACCAAGTTCTTCGCCGGTGCTGACCCTGTACCGGTATCCTCCAGCAGGCAGAGCACAGAGGCCCCTCGGAAACATAGCCCCTGGCTCTCTCCTGCCTTGGGTAAATCTCCTCACTTCTCTGGGTCTCCTCTCTCAGACCTGCGAATTACTCTTGGACCACCACACATAAAGCTAGCATTCTTCCTCACCCTGAGCTTTCTGGTCACACTTTAACCATGCTCCAGGCCTGCTGCGCACGAGGGCCTGTGCCAGGTGCCCTGACCCTGGCCTTGAGAGGGCCACACACAGGCAGAGGGTCCAGCAGGCAGAGAGGGCCACACACAGCTAAGAGGGGAGGCTCCAGGTCAGTGGGGGAGCAGCCTGGGCTCTGCAGATAACCCCCTGGGGCCGGGGATGCCGGAGGGTGTTAAGCAGTAGTGGCTGACCCTGTGATGTGCCCGCAGTAGCCTATTAGAAAATGCAACTGAGAGTCCCCATTTCGTAGTCATAATGAAAAATGAAGACTGCCCAGGCGTAATTTCAGCAATAAGCTTATGTAACCCATTTGGCATGGACGGCACGTTTTAGAGTTCTAAAGAAAACCTGAATAGATGGAATCTGTGCTGCCTCCTCCCTGCCCTCCCAACCCCCCCACCACCTGACTGTACCGGGGTTCACTTTGGCGTCCGGCCCCCATGAGCAGTGTTGACAGCCACTCTCTTTCTGCTTTCAGAAGTGATCGGGGAGGCACGTCCTTACCATGGGAAGGAGGCTGTGGATCCGAGGCCGGGGCGGGCTCGAGGCGGCGACCCCACGCACTTCCATGCCATGAATGTGGCGCAGCCCGTCCGCTTCAGCAGTAAGTTGCAGACCTGCCCTGTTCATGAACAAAGGCTCACCCCCCACGTGGTCCCTGGCTCTCCCATGCCACTTGGCTGTGCCGGGGTGTCCGCCTAAAATAGCCCTTCAGGACCTCCTTTGATGGATGAAGCTGCACAATGACCTGCCCAAAGCCACCCAGCCCAAGTGAGGAAGCCATGACCTGAACCCAGGCTCTGGAACCAGGCTGCTTTTTTTTTAAGAGATGGTTATTACCTTTTGGGGCTGAACTGTACCCACCCTTTTGTAGGTGGAGAAGCAGGCTCTCCCTCCATTTAAAATTTTTTTAAAATTACTAGTTATTTAATGAACTCTCTACAATATTAGAATTTTAAAAGAGCAGAATAAATTTAAGGAAAATTGAAAGGCAGAAAAACCACAGCTGAAACCCCCTTCTGAGTAGACATGCTTAGGTGCGGTGATGTAGTGGGAATGCTCACACTGCCAGCCTGAGGAGTTCTACCGGCTCATCAGCCACTTTACTCAGTGAACTCAGCGGCTGGTCTTGAGTGCCCAGCGGCTACAGCCTCATACAACTGGGAGTCTCATGGTCTTGGAGGCAGAGGTCCCCTGTTGAGCCTCAGTTTCCCCCTTCTTGGGTGGTTTCTGAGCTGCTTAGATGCAGCATGTACAATTGCATTTTGGAGTGAGGATGCTAACTTGGGGGACAACTCCCCGCCGTCCTTCATGTTTCCTAGGGAAGTGCCCGACAGGGTGGCACCACTACGAGGGCACGGCCAGCTGCTACCGAGTCTACCTGAGCGGGGAAAACTACTGGGATGCCGCGCAGACCTGCCAGCGCGTGAACGGGTCCCTCGCTACCTTCTCCACTGACCAGGAGCTGCGCTTCGTCCTGACCCAGGAATGGGACCAGCCCGAGCGGAGCTTCACGTGGCAGGACCAGCACAAGTGAGTCCGGGTTGGGTCCAGGGCCTGTGGGGTGCCAAGGCCTGCCTAGCATGATGGCCTCCAGGACGTGGCCTCTGGCAGCCCGCAGCAGCCCCGCCCCCTGGAAGCAAATGGAGATGGGGGTTTAGGGTAGGTGTTGCGATGGGGCAGGGTCTCTCAGAGGGGCAGGGATGGGCTGCCACCTTGTGTCACCTTGGGCCAGTCCTTTTCGTTGGTCCCCCTGTGTGGGTTCTGCTGCAACTGCAGGGGGTCTGGGCCTGTGTCAGGAGGGACTGCTCCACGTGGGGCTTCGTAGGCTTGGCTCGCAGGCCATGCAGGTAGGTGGGACGATCCTTCTGAGAAAGTGGGCTCTGCCAGGCCCATGCTCAGTGCCTTCCATGGGCCCACTCGTTCAGTCCCCCAGACACCGCAGGGCCCAGGGTGGTAACCAGGGCACGTATTAACTGGGGCGTGCCAGGTTCCAACCCAGGCAGTCTGGCTCCGGACCTGGCCTTAGACCCCCAGGCTCCGCAGCATCAGAGAGCAAGTGTGGAAACTGGCCAACTGCCGGCCTCTCCCAGACCCAGCATTCAGGGGGCTTTGTTCTGGGGTCAGATGTGTGCTGAGGACCCCTTCCACACTGCTGGGGCCAGCAGTGGATCACAGGGTCACCATACTGCCAGTGCTCCCTCCGCACGATGGCAAAGGCTGCCACACTGCCATAGGAACGCAGTGACCGTGGCAGGTGGAGGCTCCACTGTTATGCCCTGTGAGCTTGGCAAATCACCAAAGTGAGAAAGATAACTCCCAGCTTGCTGGGTGGTTGAGTCCTTGGAAAAGGGAGGGGTGGGAATGTGCCCTCAGGATGGGCACATGCATGGTGGGGGCTGGAGGGGCAGAGTGGCACTCACGGCAGCTGGGGACCCACTGATGGACATCTCCAGAGCTGGGAGGCTGGGGTTGGGAGCACCTGCTGGGTGGGAGGCTCCAAGGGAGGCAGTGTGTGCTCATAGGGGTTGTCTTTTATTGAGGTGTAATTCACATGCCATAAAACTCACCCCTCAGAGCATACTACTCTTTAGTTTTAGTGTATTCACAGGTTTGTGTCCATTAAGAACTAGGTTGATTTTACTTAGAATGTAAAAGCTTTACTGGTTCAGCTAATAAGAAGAGTCTTGGCAGGAGTCACCCGAGATAAAAACTTTTTCTGACTAGTGAGTTTATTATTTAGAATTTTAATGCATTTTATTAAAACTAAGTATCAAAACTTTCAAAAATCTTTAATGCCTTTGAAGCTCAATATTTTAAAGGTCAATGTAACTATTAAAAATGCACACATTCAGGGACTTCCCTGGTGGCACAGTGGTTAAGAAGCCACCTGCCAATGCAGGGGACACAGGTTCAAGCCCTGGTCCGGGAAGATCCCACATGCCGTGAAGCAGCTAAGCCCATGTGCCACAACTACTGAGCCTGTGCTCTAGAGTCTGTGAGCCAGAACTACTGAGCCCCCGTGCCACAACTTCTGAAGCCCTTGCACCTAGAGCCCATGCTTTGCAACAAGAGAAGCCACCACAACGAGAAGCCTGCGCACTGGAATGAAGAGTAGCCCTCACTCTCTGCAACTACAGAAAGCCTGCACACAGCAACGAAGACCCAATGCAGCCAAAAATAAATAAATAAATGTTTATTTTTTTAAAAAAAACATGCACACACTCACACAGTGGTGCCTGCTTCCCCCTGCCCCACTGAGGTCTCCTGCGATCTGTCTTCCTGCAGGTTGTGGGTCGGCTACCAGTACGTCATCACTGGCCGGAACCGCTCCTTAGAAGGTCACTGGGAGGTGGCATTCAAAGGTAAGGCTTCCTGGTCCTTCAGAAGAGTTACTGGGCTTGAACCTGGGGGGCGTCATCCTGACAAGGGCGACTATTGCCAGGATCTCCATTCCAACCTTCTCCCACCCGGGTGCCTGGTACGGGGCTGTGTGGAGGATTGGGCCCCAGACCCGGGGAGGCTGTGATGGCCCAGTCCCGGTCAGGCCCTTCCGCCAGGCCCAGGTGGGGCTTGGCCTCCTCCGGAACCTGTGGTGGCTTCTGCCTTGGCCATTTCTAGACTGTCCACCCTCGTTTCAACAACTTTAATTGGAGCATAAAAATGAGCAGTGTGCAGCGGACATGAACTCAGGCCAGAGAGGGAGGGACAGGCTTCCTAGGACAGGGAAGGTCAGAGTTAGGGTCCAAAACATCCTGGAACCATCAGGCAGGTGGAATTAAAATAGATTATGTGAGTGTGAGCGTGCATGTGTGAGCATACGTGTGTGTTGCTTTAACTACTGAGGTGACGTCAGGAGCCGTGTGAGCAACTTCGTTCCCACCCGCCCGTGGTCACCTCTCCTGTCCCATTGCCCGGGTGCTGGCAGGTTCCTCCACCTGCCACCCGAGCCACATGCCTTGCCCTGTCCCTCCTTGGGCCTCTCCTGTTAGGCTGCTCCTTGGGCCTCTGGCTTGAGCCTGGGGCCAGTTCCTTTTCCCAAACACATCCCAGTCCTGCTGTTGATGTGTCTGTGAGGACAAGTGAGGGCTGGTGAGCCCGGGGATCCCGGGCTGCTTGCTCTGTCACCTCCCTGTGGAAAGTGAAGGGACGTCGCGCTCGGGCAGAGCTCACCTGTCTCCCAGCCTGGGGGACCTTGTGGCAGGTGGGCGGCCGTGTCTCCACACAGACCGGTCAGGGCCCCAGGCAGTGGCTTCCCCCCGAGCGGCCCCCCACTCAGTCCTCAAAGGTCCTGCTGGAGCATCCCTGACCTGTACTCCTGGAGTGTGAGTGCCTGTTCCTATTTCCCTGTGGAATAGTTGACTCGGAAATGGCCATTAGGTTTCCAGGCTCAAGAGTCATAGCATGCCTGTGGAGGATCATTCTAGTAGGTTCTCACCTGCCCTAATCCCAGCTCTTGGGGTGAATCCCTAACCCCAGCAGAGGGTGCCAGCCTTTAGGACAGTGCAGATAACTCCTGGGCACACCTGTGGTCCTGACACTGTGGTCGAGGAGAGTCCACAGCTTCTCACTGGCTGAGTCCCTCTGGGGAGGAAGGGGCGTCTTTCTCCTTCCTGTGGGCACTGCCATCCTTGCAGGGCCTCTGACGTTGTAGTAAATTTTCTAAGCGTGCCTGCCTCCCTGCTCCCTGGCCTGCTGCCATCGTGCTGTGACGCTGTCTGTCCCGCAGGCTCCTCAGAGGTGCTTCTGCCCCCGGACCCCATCTTCGCGGCGGCCACGTCAGAGGGTGACGGCGTGTTCTGCGCGCAGCTGCAGTGCTTCCACTTCCCCACGCTCCGCCACCACGACCTGCATAGCTGGCATGCCGAGAGCTGCCACGACAAGTCCTCGTTTCTGTGTAAAAGAAGTAAGCACACATCTGACGCAGGCGGGCGTCCCGTTTGGCCCTGTAGGCTGAGCCCCAGTGTCATCCCTGAGCCCTCATCTCCCCCCAGGACAGAGGTCCTGCTCACCCCGTGTCGTTAGGAGTCGGGATGACGGTGGTGACCAGAGGACCTGCCACATCTCGTGGTGTCCTGGAGCCTCGGACTCTTAGTCACTTCCCCCTGCTCTCCACGGGTCCTCCAGAGGCCCTCACTCTGCTTCTCTGTCAGCCCTGTCTGGGCCGCTGCCCTCCAGCCTGTGGTGTCAGGTCTGTTCTGGGCCCTCTGCCAGCTCACTCACCCACATTCCACATTGAGGTTCTTCCAGCCTCAGGGCCATGCCGTGATTGTGCAGCCCGAGGGCAGGGCTCCCTCATCTGTCCCCTCTGGGGACCATCCCTGCCTTCGCTGCTGATTTGTCATGGGTCAGGGGTTTCACAGGGGCCAGAGCCTGGTTTTGGACTTGGCCGTTGGTCAGTCCTTGCATGGGCACCGTCTCATCACATTTATAGGAGCTTCGTGACAAGTCCTCCCAGTTGGTGGGCTCCTCTCCTGTCCTCAGCCATCGTGTTGCCTGTTCTGGGCCTTTTCCTCTTCTGTATGAATTTGGGGATCAGTTTTCTGAACTCCCTTATTAGTTGTCTATTAGAGAGTAGACTTTATGTTTAGACATTTTTGTGTTTTCTTTCAAATCTTTTTTCTCTTTTTAAAACTTCTTTACTTTTTTTTCCTGGTGTTTCTTTTCTTGCAGCTTCACTTAGAAGTGGTAATAGTGAGCATTCTTATCTTCCCAACCCAAAAGGGATGGCTTTTAGTGTTTCAGCATTAAATGTAAGACTTTCTCTAGGACTTAGAAAACCAGATACCTTTATGAGGCTAAGGAAGTCCCCGTCTAGTCCTTGTTTGCTGGGAATTTTTACATTACAAAAATGTATTGATTTTTATATTAATGCTTTTTCTGAATTTATTGGGAGTGTGTGGTGTTTCTTCTTTACTGTTTTACATTACTACTTTTACTCTTTACATTTACTCTTTCACATTAATAGATTTTCTCATTTTAAACCATCCTCCTGGTTTTTGTATGTATATTGCCAGCTTTGGTTTGCTGATATTTTATTTAGGATTTTTGAAACTGCTTTAAGAAGTGAGCTTAGCCTGTTACTGTCATTCCTTTTCCACGTACTCCTTGAATAGTTTTTGGTATCACATTTATATTAGGTTTATGAAATGAGCTGGGAAGCATTCTCTTTTACCAGCCTCTAAGTCAGTTTGTACTAGTTGGTTATAATCTTGACCTTGTTTGATAGACCAACCTTATAGGAGCATCTGGGCCCAGGGGCTAGGGAACTTTCTAACTTGTTACTTTGATATCATTCCACACTTAGGGAAAAGTTACTAGAATGATACAAGGAACTTCCTGTCATATGCCTTCTACACAGAATCACCAGTTATTTATATTTTGCCACATTTGCTTTATCATTCTCTTTTTGACTATTTTTCCTAAATCTTTTGAGAGTAAATTAGAGATACAGTGCCCTTGAGGCCTAAATACTCAGTGTGTATTTCTAAGAACAACAGCATGTTCTTATATAACCACAGCACAATTATCCAAACAAGGACGTTTGATATAGATGCAATACTGCACAATAAATACTACACAACAAACACCGCACAACAATCTGCAATTTATTACTCTGGTGTTCTCAGTTGTTTCAATAACGTGCTTTACGGGTTTTCTTTTTCTTGGCCCAGGATCCAGTTCAGAATCATGCATTGTACTTAGTTGTGGTGTCTCTTTAATTTCCTTTTGGTCTTTCTGTTTGAGTAATTTCTATAGACCTGTCTTCAAGTTTACTGATTCTTTCCTTGGCTGTGTTGAGTCTACTTGTGAACCCACTGATGGCTTTCTTCATCTCTTTTTTTTTAAACATTTCATTTCTAGCATTTCTGTTTGATTCTTACGGTTTCTCTCTGTCTGCTGAATTTCCCATCTTTTTGTTGTCAACTTTTCCACTAGAGGTTTTCGCATATTAGTCCTACTTGTGTTAAATTTTCTGTGTGTTAGTTCCTTCTTCTGTGTCATATCCGAGTCTGGATTTGATGATCGTGTTGTCTCTGGAGTTTGGTATTTCCTTCTGGTTTGTCGTGTGCCTTGTCATATTTTGTTGAAAGTCAGCACCTTGTATAGGACAGTGGAGGGGAGTCCAGTCATTTTGGTGCCTGGAAATAGGCTGGCCTTTCTTCTGTGTGCCTTGGGGATAGTGGGTGGAGGGGTCTGTCTCAGCAGGAGTCGGGCTGGGCTGTGGCTACCTTTATGCATCTGGTTTGCTACAGGGCTCTTCTTAGTGTCTGTTCCAGCCTCTGCTTTAGGTTTTCCCTTTGGGCCCCTCTTCAGGGCATCTGTCCTCAAGGCCTCCCAGAGGCGTGGGCTCCTCAAGTGCTTGCCCACCTCCAGCTGGGGTTGTGGATCCAGCAAGGGGCTTTTCAGCGGTGCCCTGATGGCTCCAGGTGTGCTCGGATTGGATGTGGTTGGTGTGGGAAGCTGGAGTGGGCTGGCTAGAAGCCAGCCCATCCCTAACCACTTACAACCACTAACACTTCTAAAGTTTTTTCATTTCAATAGTATTGTATAAATTGAACCATATTGCTATGCATCCTTTTGGGATTGGCTCTCTGCCCAGCACAGTTCCAAGTTGTTACACGTGTGTCTTGTCAGTACTTTGTTCCTTTTTATTGCTGAGTAGCATTTAACCAGTCACTCACCTGTTGAAGGACAACTGAGCCGATTCCAGTTTTTGACTGTTACAGTTAAAGCTGCCATAAACATGTGCACACAGGTTTTTCTGTGAATGTAAGTTTTCCCTTCTGTGGGATAAATGCACAGGATTGCAGTTGCTGGGTTGTATGGTAGTTGCATGTTTCATTGTTTATGAAACTAGCGAACTTTTTCAGAGTGTTTACATTCCCACCAGCCATGTAAGAGTGACCCAGTTTTCTCCACATCCTGGCCAGCACTTGTGATTTTCACTATTTTTAATTTTTAGCCATTCTGATAGGTATGTAGTACTATCTCATGGTTTTAATTTGCATTTCCCTGAGGCTAATGATGTTAAACCTTTCCGTGTGCTTATTTGTATATTTTCTTTGGTGAAATATCTGTCCATGTCATTTGTCCATTTTCTAGTTGGATTGTTTGGGTTTTCTACTGTTGAGTTTTCAGAGTTCTTTATGTATTGTAGGTTCTAGTTCTTTGGCAGATGAGTTTTTTTGGCAGATGAGTTACAGGTATTTTTTCCTATTCTGTAGCTTGTCTTCATCCTCTTCACATGGGCTTTAACAGAACAAAGGTTTTTAGTTTTGCTGAAGTCCAGTTTAACAATTCTTCCTTCTATGGGTCACTCTTTTGGTGTCAGGTCTGAAAACTCTTTGCCTAGCCTTACATTCGGAAGAGTTTACCCTGTGTCGTGTTCTAAAAGTTTTATAGTTTGTGTTTTACATTTGAGTCTATGATCCATTTTGAGTTAATTTTTTAATAAGGTGTGAGAATTAGGTCAAGCTTCATTTTTTGCTGTGGATGTCCAGTTGCTCCAGTACTGTTTGTTGAAAGGCTGTCTTGCCTCCATTGCATTTTGTGCCATTGTCAAAACTTAGTCAAGCATGTTTGTGTGGGTATATTTCTGGGTTCTCTATTCTGTTCCATTGAACCTTCTGCATTACCACACTGTCTTGATTACTGTAGCTGTATAATCAGTGTTGAAATCAGGAAGTGGTTCCTCCTACCTTATTCTTCTAGGTCAGGATGGTTTTAGCTGTTCTAGAGCCTGTGTCTTTTCTACCTAAATTTTAGAATAAGCTTATCTGTCTATAATACCCTTGCTGGGATTTAGATGAGAAGTGCATTAAACCTATATAGGTCAATTTGGAGAGATGTACATCTTTACAGTGTTGAATCTTCCAATGCACAAACATGGTATGTCTCTCCATTTACTTAGATATTCTTTTATTTCTTTCATGAGCATTATGTATTTTTCAGCAAACAGATCCTCTTCATGTGTAAGTATATATTCTAAGTAATTCATTTTCTTTGGAGCAGTTGTAAATGTATGTGTTTTAAATTTTGGCTTATATATGTTTATTGTTAGTATAAAGAAATGTAATTGGGTTTTGTATTTTGATCTTGTATTCTGTGACTTTGCTGAAGTCACTTATTCTAGGAAGTTTTTTGGTAGATTGCTTGGGAGTTTCTATATATACAATCATGTTATCTGCAAATAGAGATAGTTTTATTTCTTCCTTCTAAATCTCTATGTCTTTTACTTGTTTATCTTGCCTTACTGCAATGCCTAAAACTCCCAGCACTGTGTTGAATAAGAATGATGAGAACAGGTATCCTGATCTTATGGGCTATGTATTCACTCCTTTTACCATTGAGTATCATATTAGCTATAGGTATTTTGGGCAGGTATTTTTTATCAAGTTGAAGTTTCCCTTTATTCCTAACTTGCTAAGAGTTTTTATAAATATTAGATTTTGTCAAATGCTTTTCCTGCATCATTTTTTATGAACATATGGTATTTCGTCCTTAGCTTATCGAGATGGTGGAGTACATTGATTTTTTAATTTTTAAATTTTTATAAGTTTATTTTATTTATTTTTGGCTGCGTTGGGTCTTTGTTGCTTTGCGCGGGCTTTCTCTAGTTGCAGCAAGCAGGGGCTACTCTTCATTGTGGTGTGCGGGTTTCTCATTGCGGTGGCTCTTCTTTGCAGTGGCTTCTCTTGTTGTGGAGCATGGGCTCTAGGTGTGCGGACTTCAGTAGTTGTGGCTCGCGGATTGTAGAGCACAGGCTCAGTAGTTGTGGCACACGGGCTTAGTTGCTCCACAGCATGTGGGATCTTCCCAGACCAGGGATCGAACCCGGTGTCCCCTACGTTGGCAGGCTGATGGATTCTTAACCACTGCGCCACCAGGGAAGCCCTGGGGAGAGCTTTTTAATTATGAATTCAATTTATTTAATGGTTATAGGACTATCAAGATTGTCTTATTTCCTCTTCAGTGAGTTTTTGATAGTTTGTGGTTTTCAAATAATTGAGCCATTTCTTCCCTAAGCTTTTGGATTCATGAGCATTGTGAAATAAAAACAGTTACACAGGCTGTCCTTTTGACGTGTCTGCATCATTCTTTGAGCATTTCCAAGTTCATCTTGTGCTCTCTGGAATCATCCTTGGAGGACCTGAGCACTAGTTAATGCTCATTGCTTTTATGCCCTTTCAATGGGCAGAGCTAAGATGTGTGTGTGTCTGTGTGTGCACATGCGAGTGAGTGTGTGTGTGTATACATGTGCGATTTTTAATACTGATTTAGTTCCTTTAATAGCTATAGGCATATTCACATCTCCTAGTTTTCTTGAGTCAGTTTCGGTAAGTCATGTGTATCTAGGGCATTGCCCATGTAATCTAATCTAAATAATAGCTTGTGATTTTTTTGAAGCATTTGTATGTCTTTCATTGTGCTCTCCTTTTGTTTCCTGATACCATTTACGTACTCTTCCTTTTTTCTTGATCAGTCTCACTGGAGGTTTGCCTCTTTGATTCATCTTTATGAACTCCCAGCCACAGGGTTTTTATACATCTGGTAGCTCAGGCTTGTTGGTGCTCTTGCTCAGATCTTTTTTGGCTGCATGATACATCAGTTTTTGAAAGAGACATGTTATAATCTCTCACTATGGATGTTGATTCATCCATTTTTCCTTGATACTCTCTAATTTTAGCTTTATCTTTCTTGAGATCGTGTTGTTAGGGACATAAGCCATTATAATTATTATATCTTCCTGGTGAGTTGAACCTTTCAATCATTAATCGAACCTTTTTTACCCATAGTAGTTTTTGTTTGTTTTACTTAAAGTCTCCTTCTTTTCCAGTGGTAGCTGTAAAATGGTGTTCCCCTGACCCCTCCTCAGGCTTGATTAATTTGCTATAACAGCTCACAGAACTCAGGAAATCTGTCTACCCACTAGATTACTGATTTATTGTGATGAGGAGACACATAAGGTGAGGTACCCAATGAAGGAGCTCTGTTCTTGGGGAGCTTGGTGCCCAGCACAGCGGCCTGCAGAATTGTCTGGTTCCGTGTCATGGAAGCTTTCCAAAAAGGCCAAAAAGCTGTCCTTTTGGGTTTTTATGGAGGCTTCATTACATAGGCATGATTGATTAAATTGTTGGCCGTTGGTGATTGATTCAACCTCCACCCACCCCTACCCACCCCTTCCCCAGAAATCAAGGGATGGGAATCAAAAGTTCCAACCCTCTGATCACAGGGTTGGTCCTCCTGGCAACCAGCTTCCAAAAGTCACTTCATCACAGAACAAAACACTCCTGTATCACTCTCTGCACTTAGGAAATTCCAAGCATTTGTGAGCCAGGAACTGTGGGCGAAGACCAAATGTATATGAGAAGTGTATGTTGGTCATCTGAATGACCAAATATGTTTCTTCTAAATCACACTGTCACATACTTCTGTGAAACTCCATTCTCTTTTCCTCTCTTTGCAGCATGAGTACTGTATACATTAGATCTCTTAGTGTTAAAAACCCAACACTACACAGTTGTAATTGCTTTACCATCTGCAGCCGTTTCCTTTGCCCAGTGCAGCTTTGCTTCCACACACCTCTTTCACTGTCACTGGCACATACATTCCAGGCATATTACCTTTCCATATGTTATGGGTCCAGCACTACACTATAGATATATTATTTTATACAACTGCCTTTTAATTAAGTTGAGAGAATAAAGGAGGAAAAATACATTTATACTGTCTTATAATTACATAATTGCCTTTCCTAGTGCTTTTTGGCTTTTTGTATGGATTCAGAATACTCTCTGAAGGTCACCTGCTTTTTGCTGCAGAGCTTCCTTTGGTGTTTCTTATCCTGGGAGTCAGAAAGCACAAGTTCTCTCAGGTTTTGTTTACCCGGGAAAGTCTTCATTTTTGAAAGACAGCTTTGCTGGATGGAGAGCTCTTGGTTGACAGCTTTTCCTTTGAGCACTTAGAATTCATTATCCCACCGCCTTCTGGCCTCTTGGCAGGAAATCTTACTGGAGTTCACAATAAGTATTGTGTCATTTTTTCTTGCTCTTTTTAAGGTTTCCGTCCTCTCTGACTTCCCGCTTTCTCCCTGTGCCATGTCTGTTCTTTGTGTTTATCCTACTTGAAGTCCGTTGAGCTTCCTAGATGTGCAGGATTTTGCTTTGCAGTGAATGTGGGCGTTTTTGTCCGTTGTGTCTCCAGATGGTTTTCCTGCATCTCCAAGGGCTCTGCTCATTTTCTTCATCCTTCCTCCCTCTGTTCGAGCAGGAACAGTTTTATGTAAGTTTCTTGCCCTGCACACTCCTGATCATGTGGGTTACACAGATTTGACTCCAGTCAAGTATGGCACAGACCCGAGGTGTGGCGTCTTCTGTGAGTTTTCCTAGATGTCCCTACCCCACTGAGAGACTAGAACATCTCCTCCTCATGTCGCCGAGGAGAACCACGCCCCTGCCTCAGCCCTCATGCCCAGCATTGGGCGTGTCTCCTACCCACTTCAGGGCCTGCGCTTTCACCCCGTCTTGTCTCACACCAGTTCTTCCTCCTCTGGTCCCAGTCGGCTTTGCGCGAATTCACTGTGTGTCTCAGTTCCAGTGGACCATCTACCAAGGCTCATTTGAGATACATTCTGATGCTAAAAGGGCTGATACTCATGACACCTGCATTTTATAATGGAGGGAATCTCACATGTAATGTGCTTAGGCACTTGAAAGCAAGCACTTCTCCCTGGGCTCTCTGTCCCTGCTGTCTGCTCGTGGCCAGGTATGCTGAGCAACGTGTTGTCCTGACAGTGTGCCAGGCGGTCTCTCAGCCCCTCCTTGTGACCACGGGCAGACCCGCCACCCTGGAAGGGGGTGCTTCAGGTCCATCTTGCCAACTCCTCTGCTGTCATGTTGGCCCAGGCCCAGGTCGGGAGTCAGGGCTCCTCTGGCTGGTGACCCACATATCTCTTCCTATTGCAGGTCAGACATGTGTCGACATCAAGGACAACGTTGTGGATGAAGGGTTCTACTTCACCCCCAAAGGGGACGACCCGTGCCTGAGCTGCACCTGTCACAGAGGGGAGCCTGAGATGTGCGTAGCTGCCCTGTGCGAGCGGCCTCAGGGCTGCCAGCAGTACCGCAAGGACCCTAAGGAGTGCTGCAAGTTCATGTGCCTAGACCCAGGTGAGATGGCGAGCTCGGCCTTGCGTGGGGCTGCGTGTTCACATGGCAGCTGTGACCAAGGGCTGTAGGCCTGTCTCTTCTCCTGGTTACACTCAGAACTGGCTTCCGTCGTGGTCCCCATTGGAGCTCTTCCTGTTTCTGAGTGTGGTGACGTGGAAGGTGATGAGAGTTTCTGTTGCTTGCCATTATCAGTCTTTACTGTTAGAATCTTTAAGAAAAAGATTAAATATTACCCACAGTTTTGACATAAAACTCCTCCCCACCCGGTGACTCACGGTGGACGCCAGGGGCCATGTGGTCTCTGGGTGACCCTCCTCCTTCCACTTCTGATAAAAGAGCAGCGGGTGGGACTGTCCTTTCAGCCCTTAGCACAGCAACTCACGCACCTGATTGTTCTCCACGCCAGAGCAGCTGGCATCTCCTTGTGAATTCACAACCTCAAGAGAAACGTAAATCAGAAGCATGAATTTCAATGTGAGCGACATGGGCTTGTGGGCCCCACAGTGGACGGCTTGGGCAGGACCTATGGAGGGAAGCTGGAGCCACATGTTAGGGCCACACACCGAGAGCCGTCCTGCTCCCCAGGGCCATCAGGGAAGCCAGACAGCGTCAGGCTGGCTGAGGCTCGGCGAGCCGGGTGCTCTGGCGTGTATCCCAAACCCGTGTGGCTGGCTGTGGTGCATGCAGAGGCCATGTTTGCGAGGAGCCAGCAGGGGACATGGAACTGGGATGCGCTCAGGCCTCCCCATCCCACAGGGTAGATGGTACCCGCTAATGAAGGGCATGTGCCTGCAGATGTCTGACAAGCCAGTTGGCTGCCTGCCAGGTCTCCTGCACCCCAGCCACATCACTCCAGCTTACTCACCTTCCACGGGAGTCAAATGCTGGCTTTCACAAGTCTCTTCACCTGGATTCCTGGTTCCATTTCTCAGGAGTTGACTTCTGCTGCCTTGACTCTCTGTCTAGGCTCTGTAAGAATGACCAAACATATACAAGGGTGATTCATCTGTGGTCATGCATGGCCCATGGAGCCCACCCAGCTCTGAGGACTTCTCAGCAGACCACGGCCTTCAGGGCATCTGGGCAGGATCAGAGCTGCCACAGGCCTCTCTCCAGTGCAGCCAGAACAGCCCAGTCAGGGCCTCACCCTGCCCCACACTGTGGCCTTGCTTCTGCAGCCTTCTGACCACCTCCCAGGCGAAGCGTCCTCTTCTGGGAACTGCCCACACTGCACCAAGGAAAGAGACACCAGGAAAATATCTCCTTCAACAAGGCTAGGACGTCTGCTCTCACCGCCATGTTCAGGGTTGTATGGGAGGTCAAGGGCAATGTCAGAAAAGGCATCCAGACCAGAAGGGAAGAAATGAAACCATTTCTTGTTGTAGATGATGTGATTGTCTGCGTAGAAAATCCTAGAGGATCTACAAGAATGTTGCTAGAATTAATAAATGTGTTTAGTTTAGCAAGGTCTCCAGATACAAGGTCAATATGCGAAAATCCATTATGTTTATATATACGACCTGTAAAAAGTTGGAAATTGAAATTTTTAAGAAAAGTACCATTTATAGTAGCACCAAAAACCATGAAATACTTAGGTACAAATCTTACAAAATATGCACACTGTCTGTATGCTACAAATTGTTAAGACACTGATGAAAGAAATCAAGGGCATAAATAAAATAAAAGGTTCATGGATCAGAAGACTCAATATCACTAAGAGGTTAATTCTCCCCAAATTATCTATAGATTCTATACAGTACCAACCAAAATTCCAGCAGTTTTTTTATAGACATTAACAAGTTGATTCTAAAATTTATGTGGAAAGGCAAAGGAATTAGGATAGCCAAACCAGTTTTTAAAAAGAACAAAGTTGGAGGATTCATGGCACCAGATATAAAACTTACTGTATAGTCATAGTAATCAAAACAGTGTGATTTTTTAGCACAAGAATAGACACATAGATCAGTGGAACAGAATAGAGAGTCTAGAAATAGTCTACACTTATGTGGTCAACTGCTGTTTAACAGAGGTACAAAGACAATTCAGTGAAGAAAGGATAGTCTTTCAACAAATGGAGCTGGAACAATTGGACATCCATAAGCAAAACAAAAAAATTAACCTTACACTGCACTTCTTGCACAATGGTCATACACCTATGTAAAACTTTAAATTATAAAATTTCTAGAAGAAAACATATGTTCTTTTATTTTATTTTTAATTTTGGGGTATAGTTGATTTACAATGTTTTAGTTTCAGGTGTACAGCGAAGTGAATCAGTTAGACATATATGCACTCTTTTTTTAGATTCTTTTCCCATATAGGCCATTACAGAGTATTGAGTAGAGTTCCCTGTGCTACACAGTAGCGTCTTATTAGTTATCTATTTTATATATAGAGTAGTGTGTGTATGTCAATCCCAATCTCCCAATTTATCCCTCCCCCACAACATATGTTCTTTTAAAATTAAGTCTTTTAAAAGAAAACAGGAGAAAAATCTTTGTAACCTTGGGATACGCAACATTTTTAGATCAAAAGCATGGTCCACAAAAGAAACATTGATAAATTAGACTTCATCAAAATTGAAAAAACTTCTGCTCGTTGAAAGACGCTTAAAGAAATGAAAAGATAAACCACCAACAGAGAAACACAGATCGGACAAAGATGTTGTATTCAGAGTATATAAAGAACTCTCAAAACTCAATAATAAGAGAACAAACCACCCTGTTAAAAAATGGGCAGGGGCTCTAAAATGACACTTGACCAGAGCAGATGCACGAAGTCAGCCAAGCACCTGAAAAGATGTTCAGCGGTCATTCGGCTCATTCAGGAAACAAATCGACGCTGAGCAACGGCCTCTCCTTCGTCCTGCGCTGGTGCCCGGGCTTGGGGCCAAGAGGTGTGAGGTGCTGGCCGTGCACCAGCCTGCATCAGGGACCAGGCACCCGCCTCCGACTCCTGCTG